AGTAATTAGAATAAATGCCATAACTCAAGGCCATGATAACCTTCAGCATTAATAATATTTTGGGAACTGTTTCCCTCCCTTTACTCTAGCATATATCCCTTGTTTTCCCATTTGTGACCAAATGCTGGTTGGGATTCTGTTCACAGTGCGGCACTTCCACTGGTCCTCTCTTAATGCTGGTGAATAGTGTATGAAGACAGTCATTCAGTAATTCATTATATATATATATGTGTGTGTGTGTGTGTGTGTGTTTAATGTGTATATAACGAGAAAGAGAGGGGGGGGGGAGAGAAGCAAGGAAAAGTGAATTAGATGAAAATAATGCTTATCACTTTACAGACAATAGACTGCAGAAGAGAAAGTGTCGACCGAAGAGACCCTGCACCAAAGAAGGGGGCGAATGTATACCAATGGAGGAATCTTGTTTGAATCACCACGGCCTCTGCAAGGGTGCAAGTTGCAAATGCTGTTTAGGGAGTGAGTATTGGTGTACTTTTGCCCTCAAAAATACCCAAGTCCCAAATTTTCTCTTTGGTTATGAGGTGGTAGCATTTTAGAACCTCTTTTACTAAATTCACAAGTGTATGCAGTTTACACATCAACACGTTTCTTTTAGCAATTATGAAAATGTTGCAGGACTTCCTCACTACATTTCCTGTCAAAGTAGTTTGCATTTATCCATTAGACATATGATTTAACAAATTGTGATATAAAACGATGTAATTAGTTGATAACATTACAACATATATATATATATATTGTATATATATATATATACATGTATGTATTTATGAATATACATGTGTTTATAAACATATATTTACAGATAATCCTTCTTGCACCACCACTCCGGGGTGTCACCTCCAGGGAGGGTTCTGCTTCAAGAATTCTGGAAATGATTTGTGCGCAGATGGCACCATCCTCAGCGATGAATGTGAGGGAGCCAATTGCGCCTGTTGTATTCCCAAGACAGGTCAGTCAAATTTTCGTATTTATAGATTTGGATTTTTACAGTTTGAAAATACATGTTTTACTTATGGTTAATTATCCATGCGTTTTTTTACACATCCATGCCATTGCAGGTTCTTGCGAGTGTGGCGTGGCAAATGACGTCCGTATCATAGGAGGTGAAGAGATATCTCCTCCGAATAAATATCCTTGGCTCGTTGGTTTGCTTCAGTCTGAAACAGTTGAGGATGGGTTTTCCTGTGGCGGATCTATCATCAGCCCGAACTACGTGCTAACTGCTGCACACTGTCTATTTGATGAAGACGATCTGGCCGTACCAGCAGAGGAACTTCAAGTAGGAATTGCTAACCACAATTTCAATTCTGAAGATGACGACATACCGGGCGTCACTCAGGTTGTGGATGTGGAAAGTTACATCACCCATGAGGATTACATTCACGGGGAGCTTTCTGATTTCAATAATGACATCGCTCTCATACTTTTGAAGGAGACATTGGATCTGACATCATACCCACAAGTTCGACCAGTGTGTCTTCCTTCTGACCCGAACACGAAGTATGAGGGACAAACTGGGATCATGGTAGGCTGGGGAGACACAAAGAACGGGAAAGGGGCATATCCCGATGCTGCCAGGGAGGTCAACTTACCCATCAAGGACTGTAAACGTAAATTAGGTGGTGTTCTAATCACCCCCCAAATGATGTGTGCAGGGAAGAAGAAGTCAAAGAACAAGGGCGCAAAGGGTATCTGTTTTGGCGACTCTGGAGGACCCCTTTTCGTGAAGGAAGACGGGAAATACACTCAGGTGGGGATTGCCTCCTTTGTGACAAGTTGTCTTAAGCCCGCGGTGTTCGCTCGAGTCACCGAATTTCTCACGTGGATCAGCGATAACACTCCTGGTGAGACTTTCTGCCAGTAGTATTGCCTGGTATGTGAAAGCAGGTGCATATAACCATACATATTTAGCTTTTGTCTAAAAAGATCATGTAATAACGAGTCTCTGTTATCATATCTTGCTTTCATGTTTCCCAAGGACTCTTCCCTTTGTATGAAACGCACGTGATGTACTTCAGCAAGAAATATATAGTTTCAGCATGGCAAAATAATGATTTTCCTTCATGAGATTGTCCGCATCTTCATTTGCAAAATTGCCTATGCATTTGCCTGTGCTACCATGGGGTATATGGGAATCCGAGGAACACACACACACAGGAAAATAAAGATAAGATTTTTGGGAGAATCTTAATGTACAACAGTCTAATTCACTATGTCTTTTAGTGGGTTACAATTGTTGGGGTGTCCATGGATGTCATGGTGGTGGGTAAACAGGCAGAGCACACGAGGATAGAATAAGATTCGGAACTGGGTTTGTTGTTGTTCTGCCTCCAGTCGTTCTATATTCTGCCGCCAGGGGCGCTCAGACCACAGGGATCGTTCATATATGATAAAGAGTATAAAACGTCAACTAGTATATATATATATATATATATATATATATATATATATATATATATATATATATATATATATATATATATTTTTTTTTTTTTTTTTTTTTTTTTTTTTTTTTCACTTTTATAAGTATACATATAAAATTCTGTATATAATCACATTATCATATTTATATATCATTGTTTTTTGATATGGGATAATCGGCCGGTTTGTTAGAATTGTGCATAAATAAAGATTTAAATGAATATTTATCACTCTAGACATGCATATCAACCCGGCAAATAGAAGGTTAAATGTATCTCTCAGATATATAGACAGATATGCCTTTATTCTGCATCTGTAATTATGAAAATTCATCGGGTCGGGCCTGGCACAATTTTAGCAAACAGGCTGAATGACTAAAGTTTACTTTTACCCTAACACATCCATTTTTATGAATGGGGTGAAAACCCTAAATTGGCTGTAACAAAAAGCGTGATTAGCAGAATAGAAATAACCAATAAATTTATAAATATATATCTATATATCTATATATATGATTAGACACAAAATAAGCCATTTAGTATTCCATTTATTCATTTAGGTGACTGTAAATCATGTAGTATGTCTCCGTTAGCTTTAAAATGGAATGCTTTTCAAATATGATTTCATGGAATTAGTTAAATTAGTCTTTTCTCATCAAAACTTTACTCAAGAAGTTTATAGTAACTAAATTCACACAAAATCTGCAAAAAATCTCAACCTGTATATAGCTATATTTTGTGGCTGATTACATAGATAAATGTTTAGTGCCATCTACAAAATATCCTGTGCACCGTGGGTCCCAGAAACACCAAATGGAAGAGTTTACTAGTTAAATATTGCTGAAACAATAACTATGTAAAATGACATTTCTTCAAAAAAAAAAAAAAAAAAAAAAACTGAAAACGATTCATACAATATTTTAGACAGCTGACTATACTAACAACACTTTAGAGGCCATCAAACATTTTTAAGTTTGTGACTATTCCAATGCTCATAGAATATCACACTACTCTGCAGCATCATATTTTCCAAAGAACCATTAAGGTCATTATGAAATTTTGTGCTAAGCTCAGGTAGACATTGTAATTACGAAAAATGCAAAAGATTTCAAAATTGTAGTTTGACTTTTTCCTACATCATGCCTGTACTGTATGTAGGTACAGAGTGAATTATTTTTTCATGCATTTCAAGTTAACAGAATGACTAAAATAAATACATTTTAAAATTCTAGAGCATTTGTTTACTCTATGCACCAAATTTCAAATACATTGTAGTTATGCAAATATGCATTATTCATTTTTTAAAAGTACCTCATTTGGGGACCAAATGAGGAAAATTAGAAATCCCATTAAAATCAAAAGATAAGGTCTATGACAAAATAAATTGGAATGCGTTTATATCTCATGAAAGGGAACATTTGTACAAAATTTCGAGTGATACGGTGACATATGATGCAGAAACAAAATTTTGCTGGTATTTCGACATGGATGACCCTGTTGCGTATTATCAGGGAGAAGGAAAGTGATTTAGTGAAGTTTCCAGTTTCTCCCGGGCTGTGGTTTATATAGGTGGTTGAGGAAGGCAGAGCTGTTGTTCGAGGGGAAATCATTATAAACTACAGAAATATTTCCGTAATGTGTTTTTTGTCGATTTTGTGATTGAACATAGGACGAAAATGTGAGTTAAAATATCACCTGGTTTGTTTACATCGCATTCTTGTTTTACTTGTACATTTTACTTATAACTTGTCACTGAGAAACGCCAAAGTAAGTTAACAAGGACGGTGCTACTGGCCATCCGCGTCAAGATTTCTTTAAATTTTCATGAATTTCAAACAATTCATTTGGTAAGAAGACATTGCCGATACATACTGCATTTTGTCTCGTGTGAGTATTGTTCTCTATTGTGTGGATTATATAAAAAAGAGAGTAAAAAAAACAACATTGTTTATGCTGAAAATGGCATAGATACATTTAGTTTAGTCCCCCTACTTGTTCGTAGACTGAAGTTAGAAAACGGAATCACCTATACGAAGGAGAACTAATTTAAAAGGAAAATTTCAGGTATACGTTCTCTAGTAACGAGCTATATAGTTTAAGAGATTTTATAAAGATAAATCATCATATCAAAAAGACAGCTTTCAAAAACAGTGGCTGTCAAATATAAAAATAATTCTATTAAACTAAATGTAGCCACATTCTACAGAAAATGGGAAACTTTTCTAGTGAATGGTTATTAAAAAGTTTAGCATTGCAGTTGATGTGTAGCAACCATGACCTGCAACCTGTAGTTGTGCACAGTTGCCCAGGTTGGGTTCACAGGTCCACAGCCTTGTCCTCACTCACTCACCAGCAGGCATTTCTCAGGACTCACTTTCAGAACAAACTTTCTCCCAAAGGTTGATTAAATTCAGGGCCGAACCCAATCACAAATATGGTAGATTACGCTGTGCAATCGAATATTGCGCCGATAGATTTAAAAGGAGATAGTTAACACTAGGTTGAAAGTGTAAAAAAGTGAAAAAAAAATAAGAAAAAAAATCATACATATAAGTGTGTGTGTGTATGAGACTTAATGAGTTGCCAGTGTTTAATATCCTAAGATTAGACACATAGCATACTGACGTGAAGGCAGAGAAAAAAAAAATAGTTTCGCAAATGATTGTGTGAAACATAACTGTAACACTTTATATCTTTTCACTTGTTTCTAGCAATCTTTCAGGAAATGTTTTTGTTTCAGAAATGAATGGGAATTACGAAAGTCAAAGAGGGAAAGTTTGAAGTCTTGAAAAATGAAAGGTCATTTTTCCTTTTTATTCTGTCGAGCCAGTTCGTTTCTCTTTGGATTAATTATTAATCAGTCTTAAAATGGCGCAGTGACTCTTTTCATATATATCATCTACCTTTCTCTAGAAAACACAGAGAAAGAGAGAGGGAGAGAGAGAGAGGGAGAGAGAGAGAGAGAGAGAGAGAGAGAGAGACAGACAGACAGAGAGGAAATGGAGGAAAACAGGGATGGAGAAAAGACACAGACACAGACTAGGGGAGGGGGAGGGGAGGGGGGGCTAGGTGTCGACCTGAAGCACAGAACGAGGGCTTATGGTCCTTCAACCCAGGGCGGCCCACGACTTCGGACACTGAATACATACGTGTGATGAATAGGTCGTGCGTGTGCGTGTGTGCAGGGAAACACATTGGAAAAGGACACACAAACAAACACGCATAACACTGCTAAGTTGGGCTTTTGCTTTAGTGGTTCCGTCTTTCACGGGACAACCGAAGCTTTCGCAGGGCACCCAAGGAGAATTTCATTGCAGTTGAAGATATTTGCGAGTGATTTCCTCCTGCCCGTAGGATTGAAGCAGAAGTCGCGATGGCCGATTTAGACACTTTCACCACTATGACTGGGTCAAAAAGCCCAATTTCCTCCAGAGCAGCTGTCATATTTGCCCATGAGCACCAGGCAGTCTTCACTACAGCGTGCACAGCGTATCAGCTCTTACCGCCCCTGCAGCAGTAACAAAGTCTTAGCAAGCTGAAGATCGTGAAGAACTGCAGCAATGACTTAAAAGTTCTTGCATGCGAGAAGGACCTCACAGGCACGTTAAATTTAAAAGAGATTGTTAACACTTGGTCGAAGAATAATTGCGCCGCCTGTCCATAAAATGAGTCTTTCCTTGTTTAGCAACCAGATTCATTCTGACAAATCAATATAATTCCAAATTCATGAAGCCCAAATATATGACGGGAGATGTAAGCTTTATTACAAAGGCAAATCAAAACTAACAATTATTTCACGCTCACTATAGATAGATAAATATTGCACAGGCAGTCATGTTTCAAATTTTGTTTTTATTGCTTAGAAATTCATCCTTAATGACAAATTTACATTGATAAAGCCTTTACTAGCAACCTATAGAAGAACGTTTGCTTCGAGGTCTGCAGGGCACCACTCTGCTTTGCAGGGCGAAAACCTCTTTCAACCCTCGAGAATTATTGGTCTAGTTAGATCCATGATGATATTGACTTTACATAACATTGATATTTTTTGTCAGAAGGCCTTGGAATCAACCTCTATGAGCCGCTTTACATTGGTTGGATCAAACCATACCTATACGTCTTTCTTCTTGAATGATAGCTGGTTTTGGAAAATAATAGTATATTAGAAAATGAATAAATTAGTAATAAAAAAAAAAGAAAAAACACACTCGGATCACAACAAAACTCACCAATATCCATATAGTGTCTACTCTCAGTAGCACACCAACATAATCTAAATACTGTTACATTGCCACTTAGCTCGACACTGTGTAGCTGTCCCCTTCGCCGAGACACCGTTGATCCATTTACCGACTCTTGTTCCCTCAGCGCTTGGGGCAGCGAAGTGGCGGCTGGGGACGCCGCAGCGGGTTGCCTCCTCTTCGATCTGTCGTGATCAGATCTGCAATTGGACAGCACACATAATGCAACTGTTTCTCCCTCCTTCCATCATTCTACCTCCCTCCATCATTCTCTCTCTCTATAACTGAGTCAACGCGACAGATCGATCATAACCTGCCTCCGAACAGAGGCACCCCCCCCCCCCCTGCGATCTGATTGGCCATCCTGTGTGCCCCAATGGTCGCTAA